ATTTTTGGAAAATGTCTTTAAGAATCTTTAGTGCAATCCGCTAGACTTAGTCGAAACGTATAACCTGGGTCTAGGGGGTTATATTTAATTGGTATCAGAGCATTTAATTTTTAAACCTCGGACTGTGAATGGGTCCAAACTGAAAATACGATATTGAAATGTTTTACAAAACAAGTCACTAAGGCCATGTCACAAAGTTTTTACGAGTTTAATTGTGTTCGGGACTCCAAGTGTCAATCTAACCTTAGGCTTTATCTTCTATAATAAACTCGAGATGCACCAAGATGAGTGCTAGACGTAGTCGTCGTCCTAGTCGTGGGTGAGGTCGAACGACTAGATTTACAGACCCAGTAGATGAGATACGGGTAGACCCCCCACCTCAGATATATGATCATGCTCCTGCGACCCCGACGGATCTGCCTCCTACCTCTTATATTGGATTGACTACTCTGATTAGAGGAGCGAACGTTACTGAGCCCGAGTCTACTAGAGTTGTATTAAATGAGAATCTTGGTAGATAATTTCTTCAGTTAATTCAGGGAGCGGTCAGAGCTACTGTGTTGTACTCGAGGTTCCTATTTCTCATACTCTGATTGCTAATAGAGTTAAGACGTTTATTGGCCTTACTGGTGGAGCCCCGACTGAGGCCAAGGATTGGCTCAATGATACCGAACGATGCATGGATCAGTTAGGTTTAGATCCGCATCGATGTTATTTAGGAGTAATTTCTATGTTGGACGGGAATGCCCACACCTGGTGGGAGTCTAAGCAGTGTTCCGGCCGATCGTTTGACCTGAGATTTCTTCAGAGAGCGCTTTAGGAGCCATTTTCTGGGAGATGATTATTTAGCTCAGAGACAACAACAGTTTCAATACTTGGTTTAGGGAGATATGAATGTTTCTGAGTACGAGATCGAGTTCTTAAAATTGCTAAAGTATGGATTCATCCGGTACCTATCGAGAGCGATAGGTACCGAAAGTTTGCTTAGGGACTCCAATACGAGTTACGTCGTCAAGTAGTTACTCATCAAGATGAGGTATTCAATATTGTAGTTGGGAGAGCAAAATATAAGGAGAAAGTCAAGGCTTCTACACCTGATAGTGATAGGGTAGATCGAGATCGATCTAGGAGGCCTTTTGGTCGGTCTGCGCCTTCTGCATGCTCTGATAAAAGAACTCGTACTGCTGCTAATCAGATGAGTCATTCTGGTTCAAGGCCTGCGTCTCCTCCACCTACTATAGCTAGTTGAGGTGATTCTGCATATTCCACTCCAAAATCGAGTTGCGAATTCTGTGGAAATCAACATGGGGGAAAGTGTCGTAAGAAGATGGGTACATGTTTTCGTTGTGGATCTAGTAAACCGCCCATACACGCCGTTCGTTTTTCATGAAATTCGGCCACCGTGTTCAATCATTCGCCTCACTGCCCCTAAATATCGATTCCTCATTGTCGTGCATTCAAAACCCAACTGAAACCATTGTCCATCGTCGTCTTTTTCCTCACCGTCGGTGTAGGTAAGCTCGGGTTATATTTTGGTTAATTTTCTTTTGATTTTGGTTGATTTTTTGCTAGTTATTGCATGTAATTGGTTGATCGAGGTTATGAAAGTAATCGGTCGTCGACCATACCTCATTCAGTCATCTCACGCGCCCCCATGAGCCGCTGCGTGGGCGTAGGGCTTGTCCCACTCTGGTTTCTTCAAGAAACTAGTCTAGTCGGTCTGGACCGGCCTAAACCAACCCAACCCGACTCAACATAAACTGTTTGTCCCGACTCGACCCGAACTGTTTGACCCGACCTGACACGTTGACTTTGACCCGACTCGACCCGTTGACCTTGATCAGAGTTGACTTTGAATTGAAAATTCAAATTTTTTGAAAAGTCATATTTTATGTTTTTCGACGTTATGAGTCTGAATCCGAAGTCCGTTTTTCCAAATTCAAACTCGAAAGCTTCTGAATTGACCCGTAAACCCAAAAAATGCGTATTTATTTAAGTGTTTTAATTCAGTTAATTGAACCAAATGGTCAAGGACTAATTATTGTTATCGAATGTTAAAGGTACTTGAGGATCTCCTGACCGTTTAACTGCTCGACCCGGTTTCTCCCGATCCGCTAGTCCTCGAGAGGCCGTGAATACTCGTATAGTTCTGTAACCCCGTTAGTTATTTAGTTTAGAGATTATTTCGAATATGACCCTGTTCTGATATGGCTTAGGTTCCCGTTCAGTCGAAGAGCCTAGTGAAGTCGGTGTTTGATAGATCTTCCGGACTGACCCGTTTTGTGAGGTGTGTTCCTTGTGTGCAATATAAATGTTTTAAATAACTGTTTGAATTCTCATGTGCACTTGAATGTTTTCTATGATTTAAAATATAATGTTTGATCTGATTCGACTACTGTATAAATTACATGTTTTAAAACCTCATTCCTAATTTACTGAAATGTAAAGTATGATTGCCTGAATTATGATTTATGATTACTGTTTTATTGAACTAATGATCTGTCTGAACTCTGATTTACTGCTACTACTGGTTACTGTCTGAAAAATGTTTTATTCGGGTCACTCTGGATATGGTATGAAGACTTTGGCAGGTTCAGTCACTGTTGGTAATTCATTGGATAGGTTCAGTACCGACTGGTAATTTTTTATGGACCTAAAGCGACCCTTGGGTAGGCTCTACGGCCCCGAGATTTTTCTTGGGTAAGCCTTCGTGGCCCAGAGAATTGTCTTGGGTAGGCTCTCAGGCCCCAAGGTACTCCCTTAGGTAGTGCAGTTCTGGGGAACTGCATATGGTGTTCGGTTGGAGGACGATTCAGAGTTTTTAAATTAAAAAATCATATAATGTTTAATGACTGTGATCTCTACTGATTTTAAAAAGCATAACTGCATGTTTTTGTTTTTGCACTGTTGGGACACATTGAGCCTCTAACTCACTTTTCAAATTGTTTTACTCCCTTTCAGATATTCTCGGATAGACACTCCGTATTAGACACTTAGAGGATTGACACATTTAGTACAAATCTTTTTGTTGTAATGTTTCTTTCTTCCGAACTGCTTTTAATTATGGTAAAAAAAACTGATAATATCCAAAAAGACCATTAATTAAATTCAATTAATTTAATTTTTTTTTCTAAATCAATTAATTTTTTAATATAGCAAGTGATAATAAGTTTCAAATACTACCTAACATAGAGAAAACAAAATAATAAAAAGTCCCGGACTGGATTGGGCTTATTGATACAACCATAAACGACGTTGTTTTAGTGGTTTGTGGGTTTATGGCGGTTTAAAACTCCAACTCCCTCCATAACGGAATATAGTATTCCCCAGTCTCCAACTGCCAACGAAACAAGAGTCAATGACAATGCAAAGATTGTTGACTTTTTTTCTTCATGCGACGTCGTTTCAATCCAGAACCTCTCGAAATCAAAGCTCAAGAGTACGGAACCAAGATTGTCATCAACATGGCCGTTCCCAGCGGTTCAGTGAGTTTATTTTTTATTTTTTATTCAACAATTTATACTTTGAGGATGCAACTCTTTTTCATATTTTGAGTGATGTTAAGATCATTCTCTATCTATATATGCTTGATGTAACTATGCCCGGAACTATGAAAGAAGCAGAGAAGCAGAAGGAAGGGCTTGTAAATATAGCAGTTTCTTCTTTGATCTTGCATGTATTATCATTCTGGGTTTAAGAAAGATAATACGTATTCATCAATTTCTAGTCTTCAGTTTTTTTTATTTTTCGTCAAGTATTAATCTGAAATTTGAAGAATCAAAATTATAAGCTAATGTTAAAGGATGCTTATGCAGGTATGCTTGTGGGAAGGAAATATGCGAACTGTACATGTTTTGTGATTATATGAATATTTCATGAATGAGTAATTCAACTTACATGTTGGAGTTTCCATTGTTTCAGGATGTGCTTGTTTTCTATTGTTTTTCAGATGGAAATGCTCTGTTTTTCTTTTCCTTTTTTTTACTTCAGCTGTCACAGACCGTATATATATATAAGTTGGATTATACTGTTTAGTTTACTTTTGGTTATATTTCCAACAATTATGAACTTACATTCTTATCAAGACGAGGTAGAAAGAATGCAAGGAAAGATGATTATTTTACATTTTGTTTGGAATTGCTGTGCTTGTGTTACTGTGGCTTTTGCACCAAAAGGGATTTTTTTGATCCCCTTTGCGACTGGCGGGAATATCATTTTGGGTTTTTGCGATCAGAGTCTCAGATATATAAACAGGCACAATATTGGCATTGGCCAATCCACGTTTTTTGCCAAAGGAAAAACATATTGAAGCCAAGCACCACAAGCATGATGCTCGACATAAACGAAACGGCATTCACCATGTGCACAGGCACAATCATTCAGAAAGGGGCACTGATTATTTACTATTATTATCTGCCTCGTATTAACAAGGACAAGGGCAATCACAATCATAGACATGTCAAAAGTTCTAGCATCATACAACAAGTCCATTTAAACACGAGGAAAGATGATGATGATGTTGGGAAACACAAGCACAAAATGGCAATAGAGATGAGATAGTGGATATGTAGGTGAAGTTTTGGTTCAGATTTGGGTAGTTAGGTAACTCCTGGTTGAAGTTGCATGGCTGAACATTTGCCTTTTCCCCCTCTTTTGTTAGAGGAAATTGAGAACCTCCTCAAGATTCTTCAGTAGAATTCTAAGAAAAAGATAATAATTAGAAAGGAAAAAGATAGGACAAAGCTTTAAACATTTACAATATTGCAAGTTATGATGGGATTGCAAAATATGCATACAAGGCATTGGTAAAACTTTGGTTTAGTCTTGGTTGGAGAAATGACTGTAATAATGGATTCTCTACTTTCTCCAATATGAAGATGTACTGATGATTGTTATCCTCTTCTTCAGTCCAAGAAAAGCTAGGTTAAAACAACAGTGACTAGTAAGATGATAAGCTGGAATCTTTTTGTTGTTTTGCTTCTTTGGCAGATATCCTGACTTTGCTTAACATTGTTTTATGCCTTGTGTTGGTGAAGTTACTCCATTCTAGTTTTCTCCATGAGCTGAACGTGAAATCCATCTGGAAATTGTAAACCTGGGGTTCGGAGTATATTTCCTCCTTTGATTGCTTCCCACCTGAAAGGTTCAGAATCTCGATGAGGTTCTATCTATTGATCAGTGCATTGAGTGAGTACAGAACTCATTCTAGTTTGTAGAATCATGCTATTACTTGTATTTTGTAACCAGGCAATGGAGGAAGACGGTCATCTGTACTTTAGTGAAGTCTGTTCCGACACAAAATCTCATGCCACCACCAAATGCCATGAAATTCCTTGAAGCTCCATGTATTTCTGTTCCCTGCAGTTACATGTTACAGTTTTTTTAGCTCCATGTAAATTTTATGAATCAGTCTTGCAGGTTAATGAGGACACAATTTACAGTATTCACCCACCTCCCATCTTGATGGATTGAAGACGAGGGGATCTTGGTATTTTGCTGGATTGAGGTGCACAGCTGGGGGACAGACCATTACTGCCCAACCTTCTGGAATAGTATATCCTGCATTATTATCGAATTTTATGTGTTAGTTTTCATATTAATTTCATGGCTAAAACTTGTTTATAACACTTGGAGAGTAACTTATTTTAATGCATACCTTTGAACTGGATTTCCCTTAGTGTTTTTCTGAAGATTCCTGGAACTATATTTGCCAGTCTAACTGTTTCATTGATGAACTGTATGCAAGTTTCACTTGTCAGTATGGAAATAAAACAGCCTGAAGCAGATGATAAATCTTATTAAAAGTTTAAACTGCAACTATCTAACCTGGAAGGTATATGTCATCGACTTGTATTCTTTCCATGTAAGTCCAGAGTTGGTATTTTCTCGGTTTCGTAGAATTGCCTCATGCTCATCCTGTAAGGTGAAAATACTAAGTGTGTGCTTGATGGTAAGAGGATTTTTCAGATAAAGGATTTTAGCTGAAATATTTTCACATACTGTTAATTTGTTCAGCACTGAAGGATTGTCAGAAAGGAATTTAACAGCTAAAGTTAGAGCTAGGGACGTTGTTTCAAAGCTGGCAAATAGTAGCACGAACATCAAATCCAGAGCAATTGCCTCTGTGAGTATTGTTCCCTCTTTCTGAAGTTCTTCAAGGACGAAATCGAAAAAATCACTTTGCTGTTTCCTGGGCATAGACCGCCTGTCATTTAGCAAGTCCTTCAGCATTTTCATTGCATTTTTTCTTCCCTGTATATAGAAATCGTCAAGAGGGTCAACACAGAAAAAGATGGGTTCATTGAGGCCTATGTTTCTAATAACTCAGGGGAGCCTGATTTGGTAAGTCCTTCAGCTAGAAAATTGGTAAATATAATCATGATTGTACCTGTAAACATTTGTGATAAGCTGTTCCAGGAATATCCAACGGAAATGAGATTAGTCCCTGTATGAATGCAACAAAATTCCCCCTCAGATTTTCCGAGGAACTGTCTTGGTCATAACTTATTAGCTTTTTGGCTGTCAGATCAAATATCATCTGCAAAAAAAGGACCAAGTTATCGTTGTAAACTTGACCAGAAACTTGGGCTGATGATGAACCATGAGTGAGGTATATAAATGTTAAATTACACTAGCAGTTGCGTCTTTTAATTCCACAGTTTCTTGGCTTGACCAACGCTGTAACCTTGTGCAAGCTGTGTTCTCAACTTCAGGTAACATCTTTTTGAGGCTTTCAGGACCAAAGAGATTAAGAACCATATTCTTCAGGTACTTGTACATGAAACCATGCAAGGAACCCACGTTCTGACGTCCAAATATCTCTGTGAATGTATCAGGATACCAACTCTGAAACAGTTGTCCCTCTTGCTGGAAGACAAAATGATTGAGATCCGGATCAGTCGACACAATCACCGGTCGCCCCACTAGGTTGGTTTTGAATATCGGCCCATACCTTCACAGGTAATAACAACAATCAACATGCTAAGAATGGAAGGAGATGTACGAAAAGAAGACCATCATCAGTGAAGGAGATTGATGCAATTTCTATTACCTGTTCATCCTGTCTTTGACAAAGAGAGGAATATCGAAAGTGGCATTGGGGCTGAAGAACTGAAGGGTCTGGCCAACAAGTGGGAACCCCATTGAACCTGGTGGAAGTTTACCATTACATCTAGGATTTCTCCATTTGTTAACCCAATGTGTGATGCAGATAATGAGCAAAGCTCCAATGCACGTCAATAGCAACATCTCTCAGTCGAGGAAATATAAAAACCCCAGCTCACACTGGATTGATCAAGGAAAGAAGGTTATAAAATGCAGGTACTGGCTTTTGTTTATAGAGAAAAAGGTTGAAATGAGCAGAAAAGAGAAAAGAACGTAGTAAGAATAGACAGGTAAGAGAAGAAAATGCCGGAATGTAAGTATGTATTGTATGTATCTCATCAGTCATGAGAAAGCTCATGCTTAAATAGGAAGGCAATGCATTGCATACAACCGTACTTAAAATGAATTCAATTTATTAATTAATTAAAGCTTTCTTTATTTATTCATTCTTTTTGGAACTTTAAAGATATCATAGAATGGAATGGAATATAATTTAGAGTTAACTGCCTGTCTAGGAACTGTTCATTATCATATTGTCAACGCTATCACATTGAAAGAGAGAGAGAGAGAGTAGCATATGATTAGATTAGACCTTTAGAAGCTAACACGATGTTTCTTTCCATCTCTTCATCTAGTGGTTGGATTTTCTTTTCTTTGCCCCCATCAATGGTAGAAAGTGCTTTAACCCGAAAAGCAGAAGAAGCACGAGGCTTAATTTTAGCCTTTTTTTAGGAACAAAGGGTAGGGAAACTGTAGATTTGAGAGGATCCATGTCTGACCAAACTATCTTAAGACCAATTTACATTACATCACTGAATACCAAACACAAACAAAAGGAATCTAATGGCTTCTTTGAAATAGTCTTAAAAATCTAAGCTAAATTTCCCCCCGTTTACTGCAACATCTGGAGTTTTCATTTTTATTTGCTTTCTGTATCCAAATCAGAATCTCCTGTAAATCCTAATATCGTATTCTCAGATCTCCAATCTTGATGCATACATCACTTAAGATTTGGAATGAAGGGGCTGTGGATATGCATGCAACTACTGTGATTGTGTATGACTTGAAGCAATATCATGCTTACCCCAAAAAGCAGGTCAAACCATTTTTCAATACATAGAGCTCCGGTCCTGCAGGCCATTGAGCCACGGACTGAACCCCCCATGCAAACAAAGACTAGCACTACAATGTAGCTAGGTCACTGTGTGCCACAGTCTTCTTTACATCCATGATATGCATGTTGTCACAATGATACTGGACGAAATATGTTTTTAAGTAAATAGATATAACTAATAGATTTACTTGGTAGATTATGTAAATCTGTCAAATTATGTCAATAGGTTATAGTTAATAGTAAAAGAACACGGAGAAATATTGATGATAAAGGCTTAACTTCATTTAAATGAAAATATGACTTTAAATGCAAAATTAGAGCAACAAATTCTCCTACTTATATGGAGAATTATCTAAACAAAATAAATTTATTTAAACTTAAAACAACTTAAATAACCTTATTCAAAATAAAGTAATATATCATCGACTAAATAAAATTAGCTACTGCTCCTAGATATTAGGAATAATTGACTTGTTAAAATGCCCCTCGAGATTATAGGTAGTGGAACAACCTTCAGCTTGGCAAGATGATGATGAAAGGCTGCTCGTGGTAAAGGCTTTTTAAGAGTATCAGTGAGCTAATTTGCCGCATGCAAATGTTGAACGAAAACTTGGTTGCTTTGAACTTGTTCACAAACATAATAAAAATCAACTTCAATATGCTTCATCCTACTATGAAGAACCGAATTTCGGCAAAGATAAGTGGCACCAACATTGTCACAATAGATGATGGGTTGATGAAGAAGCTCAACTTGAAGTTCAGTGAGCAATTTTTTAACCCAATTCACTTCAGTGAGAGCATATGCAACTGCTCTATATTCCGCTTCCGTAGAAGAGCGACCTACCGTACGTTGTTTTTTAGAAGACCAACTAATGGGATTTTGACCAAAGTAAAGAATATAATCAGACGTGGATGTTCGATCATTGACATCGCCAACCCAATCTGCATCAGAGTACATTGTAAGAGCTGAAGTAGTGGTAGAAGTGATATCAACCCATGAGATTTTGTTTACTGTAGATACCGAAGAATTCTCTTCACAGAGGACCAATGAGTTATTGTTGGAGCATGCATAAACTGAGCAAGTTTGTTTACGGCAAAGCTGAGATCTGGTTGTGTGAAGGACATGTATTGAAGTTTCCCAAGAACCCAACGATATAAGGTGGCATCAGCAGAAGAACTACCATCTTGAAAAGTGAGAGATGTATGAGAACTCATCGGTGTCTGGATTGGTTTACAATCTGCCGTGTGAAACTCAACAAGAAGATCATAGATGTATTTTTCTGAAAAAAGTATAAGTCCGTCAGAAGTGGGAATGACTTCAAACACCCAAAAAACAAGTGACTCGACCAAGATCTTTTAACGAAAACTAGAAACTCAGAGACTTGATGATATCTTGAATTGAAGAGGAGCATGCTCCGGTCACAATGAGGTCATCCACGTATACTAAAATATAAATTATATTACCTTAACGACTATAGATAAACAACGATAAATCAGAGTTGGATGTCCAAAAATCAGTATGAATAAGATAATTCTTTAATTCAGAGTACCAAGCACGAGGAGTTTGCTTAAGTCTGTAAATGGCTTTGTTTAGTTTACAGACATATGAATGATAGTCAGGATGCTCATACCCCGAAGGTTGTCGCATGTATACGGATTCAGCAAGGTGACCTTGGAGGAAGGCATTGTTGACACCTAATTGATGCAAAGGCCAATTATGTTGAACAACAAGAGAGAGAATGAGTCGAACAATCACCGGTTTGATTACCGGACTGAAAGTAGAATAATAAGCAACACCAAGACGTTGTGTGAACCCTTTGGCGACAAGACGAGCTTTGTATCGATCAATGGTACCATCAAGTTTGGTATTTATCCTGAAAAGCCATTTGCAGTCTACGATTTTTTGTAAAGCAGACGATGGAACTAGTTCCCAAGTATTATTGTTCATTAAAGCATCAAACTTAAGTTTCATAGCTTCTCGCCATTGTGCACTTTTTTTGGGTTTGTTTATACGTGGAAGAAAGTGAGGTGGGTGTAGTATGGGCTAGATAATCAAAAATGGATTTTGGTTTGGTAATATTATTTTGTGAACGAGTAATTGGTCGATGAATATGGGTTGGTTGAGGGACAATATTGATAGGGGTGAAGTAGGAATCGTGGTAGAGAGTAGTGATAGGAGAGGAGGATTTTATGTTTTCACTGTGTATCTAAAGAAGTTATCTATTAATGAATTTATCATAAAGGTCTTCATATGAGATTGGGGAGTCACGAGCCTGAATGACAACCGATATAGAATCACACTCAAGTCCCAGGCCACTGAGTATTTTAACAACAAGTTCAGTATCTGATATAAGGGGACCCGCGATGGCAAGTTCATATGTCATATTCTTGATGTCTCGTAGTTATTCTGTAATGCTAGGAGATTGTTTAGTGATAGAGGCTAAGGTGTTTTTCATACTGAAGACTATTGTGAGACTTATTCGCATACAAAGTGTGTAGCGTATCCCAAGCTTCCTTTGAGGTGGGTGATTTTGCGATTGCAAAGGTGATAGTTTGATCAATTGATGCCATTAAGGCATTACAAATTAACAAATCTTGTCGAAACCAGATTTTATAGTTCAGATTGGAGGTTTGAATATTTTCAATAGTAATGGTTTTTTGGGGAACAATCATGGTGCCATCTAAATAGAGGTAGAGATCATGATTGAACATGAGGGATTCGACTTGAGCTTTCCAGATGATAAAGTTCACTGCGCTGGTAAGTTTCACTGTTAGTTGAGAACCGAGATTAAATTGAACTAGATGATTGGTGTTTTTCACAGACACAATGAAATTGAATGCATTAAGCATGGTTGGGAAAGAGGAAAAAATATCTCAAAGGAGATTAGAGAGGCTCTGATACCATAAAAGAACATAGAAAAATATTGATGAAAAAGAATTAACGTCATTGAAATAAAAGTATGACTTTATATACAAAATTATAGCTACAAGGTCTCCTATTAGAATTATCTAAACAAAATAAATTTAATTAAACTTAAAACAATTTAAACAATGTTATTTAAAATAAAGTAATATCTTATCAACTAAATAAAATTAGCTACTGCTCCTAGATATTAGAAATAGTTGGCTTGTTAATAAATAAGAGATACCAAATTACAAAAAAATTAAAAATTCTAGAGATTTCAAGGTTCAATAAGCAAAGAAATAATAGTAAAGATATGATTTACAGGTAAAAATATGGAGGGGATACAACAAAATAAGAATTTTGTTGAATTCAATTCAAATGGTTAAATGACACAACTGATTTTGTGCTCAGGCTTTTTTTTGGATAATCAGTGTAATAAAGATATATCCATGAGAGATTTCTCTCTTTTATTTCATCAATTAAGCAAACAAACAAAAACTGAAATTGTGTTGTAGAGATGACCAAATCCTGTTGGTTGGAAGTTGGAAAGGAACATGATTTCTTTTCATTCTTTCGATTCTAAATTTGCATTTGATTTTTTATTGGTTTTCTGATTCGACGGTTATGATTATTTATGGGAAAGCTAGTTGACTCCAAGATATTCTTGATTTTGTTTTAGTTGGCGGCTCAACGATTGTCTAACAAACGATGTTCATGATGCCTTTAATTACAGCTGGGTGTATTCTATAGGATCCCTCGATTATTTCTTTTTTCCTTTTGGTTAAATTTATCATTTGCCCCTTATATTATATATAATTTATTAAGTTATCCTTAAAGTTTTTTTTAGCCCCTAGCATTTAATTTCATTATCGAATTTCCTCATGTTCACTCCTTATACAGAAACCAACGATCAATAGAAATGTGACACTTTAATCCGCATCTGACTTTGATGAAAAGAGAAAATTAGATATTTTATTTTTCAATGTCTTTTATTTAGTGTAGTACTTAAAAGTTTTATTTCATCCTATATTAACCCTTATTTTTTTTTAAAAAAATATATAACTAAAATTGTTATATTAACTAAGGCTTAAGTATAAAAGAGGTGCCCAACCTTTGCCATTTTTTCAGTTGAGTGCCTAACTTTTTATTTCGTTATAGTTTGGTG